TCTGGCCAGGACTATTTCTGCAACACCTCAAGATCTCTCTCCCTCTAATCTTGACCAATCATCCTTCAAGGTTGAGGCTAAAATACGATTCTAATTATGTCACTTACCCTTAACAGGCTCATTTTCTCCAGTTAGATGCAGTTCAGACTCCTTGGCATGGCCTTAAATGGTGCCCACACTTTTCCAGAATAGATAGATTTCTTGCTCATTTCTTAGAGGTCTGGGTTTAATATATGCAAAATACTCTGTAAAACAATAAATGATGTGGAAGTCACTGTGCTCAAACTTTTTAAACACTGTGTTGAAGGTCTGAAACTATCATAATGAAAAAAAATCTTTTGGGTGGTGCTTTCAGCAACAGCCCCCCTCAAACTGATGCAGGGGCAGATGATCTTTATTCCAAATTCCATACCACCTGAGTTTTGGTAAGTCTCCAGTGTTTAGCAGTTTGACTTGTAAGTTGTATTGCAGACTGCTAGAAATGTCATTACCTTCTAAAGCATCTTTCTCCATTAAGACAGCACAAAGGAAACAGTCTGAGACCTCCCCTCTTTACTTGCACTTAAAAAAAATCCATGTGTTCATATATCAGGTAATACATTAGTTATTGTGAGCATTATAAAATCAGGTAAGACAATGATACTGGCTGTCAGCTGCTGAGAGCTTAAGGTATTTGTCAGTGTTAGGCAAGTAACATCTATACATCCAGAACGGTGCCACATACTATCTTACCTGCCCACCCTGCACTAGACACTGAAGGATATAAGAGGAGGGGGAAATGACCTTTCTTTGCCTTTAAAGAGCTTGTGATCAGTAGAGGAAATAAAAGTCACACACAAAGGCCGGAATCTATTTTGTACTGAATGAGTGGTGGAGGCATTTAAATGCTTCAGTCACGCAGAAGAGGAGGAGCTGGTGAGACTGGAGCGACACTGGCTCTGAGTGGGACTGGAGGAGGGCGAGTGGCCCTGGGTACCACCTGCGGCGTTGGAGAGCTGTGGCGGAGGGCGGGTGGATGGGGGGACCCGCTAGCGTGTAGGGAGCTTAGCAATGGATGCAGAGCTGAGTCCAGCTCTGATACATTCAGAAGTGGAGTGTTCAGAAGCTTATGTCGTTAGCAGCCCTTTGCACTCAGAAGGCTGTGCCCAGGAGGGTTTATGACAGAAGCTGGGAGAAGCTGCTGCCACTCTGTCCTTACCTCTGACCTGGAGCAATGACTTGAACTCTCTGATTCTGTTTCCTCTAAGATGAGGAGGGTAGGAGGGGGCCATGGCCAGCTTCTCTTCCACCAGAGGACTCCTAGGACTCTGTCCCCCATAGCTGGCGGGGAAAGTCTGGTGGCAGGACAGTAGGCTGTTCCCCTCCCTTCTCCCAGCCACCAGCGTAGTGAGTGCCTGGCACACAGTGGGCGCTCAGTGAGTTTGTGGGTAGATAACTGTGTCACCCTCCCCTGGCGCGCTCAAGGTTCCCTTCTTCCTCTTTCTTTCCCTTTCTCAACCATCTGCATTTCTATGTCATCATTTCCTTTTATTTTTCACAGCTATCTTTCATCCTGCTCTCCATCATAAGTACTAAGTCAGTCTTATGTTTGGTATCGAGGCCTAAAGAGCTGACATCTAGGCCTTGGTCCCAGGCTGTGCATCAGGACAGGAGGACCCCAACTCTGGCTCAGTCCTTGACTCACAGCTGGGCCCTGCAAGACATGGCAAGGTCTCGCACACCCCGGTTGCCTTTCCCATCATCGGTTAAGCACTACTTTCTTCATAGAGATAAAATTAGAGCTTGATACTGTAAAGGAAAATATGAAATTTCCCTCAGAGTGCTGTATAGGAAAAAATTAAATCTTTAAAAAAATTTTAACTGACATATAATTATATACTTTTATGAGGTGCAGTGTAATGTTTTGATACATGTATACCTTGTGGAGTGATTCAATAAAGCTAATTACCATGCCCATCACCTCACATACTTACCATTTTTTATAGAAAGAACATTTCAAATCTCTTTCAGCAATTTTGAAATATATAGTGCATTATTATTAACTATAGTCACCATGATATTCAGTAGAACTCTTAAACTTATTTTTCCTGTCTAACTGAAATTTTATATTCTTTTACCAACATCTCCCTTCACCTCTGGTAACTGTCATTCTCTTCTCTGTGACTTCTACTTTTTTTGATTCCCACATATAAGCAAAATCATACAGTATTTGTCTTTCTGTGCCTGGCTTATTTCACTTAACATAATGTCCTCTGGGTTTGTCCAAGTTGTCACAAATGACAGAATGTCCTTTTTTTGAAGGCTGAATATTATTCTATTTTTTTTATATAAACCACATTTTACTTTATCCATTTATTCATTCATGGACATTTAGGTTTTCTCCTTATCTTGGCTATTGTGAATAGTGCTGCAATGACCATAGTAGTACAGATTTCTTTTTGAGATCCTGATTCCATTTTCTGTAGCTAGGTACTCAGAAATGGGATTGCCAGATCATATGGTAATTCTATTTTTAGTTTTTTGAGAAACCTTACACAGTCTTCTATTAATATAATGACTATACTAATTTACATTTCCATCAACATGGTTTTGCCTTTCTCCACATCCTCACCCACACTTGTTATCTTTCATCTTTTTGATAATGGCTATTCCTGCAGATGTGAGGTGATATCTCATTGTGGTTTTAATTTGTCTATCCCTGATATTGAGCATTTTTTCATATATCTGTTGGCCATTTGTATGTTGTCTTTTGAGATATATCTGTTGAGGCCTATCTTAGTCCATTTGTACTGCTATAACCGAATACTATAGACTGGGTAATTTATAAAGACCAGAAATTTATTTCTCACAGTTTTGGAAGCTGGAAGTATAAGTTCAAGGAGCCAGCAGGTTTGGTGTCTGGTGAAAGCCTGGTCTCTGCTTCCGAGGTGGCACCACATTGCTTCATCCTCCAGAGATGAATGTTGTGTCCTCACATAACAGAATATGGAAGGGCAAAAAAGGGCCCAAGCTAGTTCCCGTCAGCTCTTATATAAGACAGTAATCTGCTCACTTCCCAAAGGCACCACTTGCTAATGTCAACACAATGGGGTTAAGTTTCAACATGAATTTTGGAGGGGACACATTCAAACCACAGCAAGGTTCATTGCCCATTTTTTAATTGGTTCATTTGTTTTCTTGTGATTAAGTTGAGTTCCTTCTATATTTTGGATATTAGCCCCTTATCTGAAAAAATTAAATCTTAAGTGACATCTCAAACTTGTCTTATAGATAAAATTTTATTATATATATTGTCAAAGGACTTATCTAGTTAAATCTGTTGACATGTAACAATAACAATTTGTCTTGCATGTAATATTTTAATGCCACTTTTTAAATTGTCACTTGCTAACTTAAAACAATTTCATGAGTTTATGCCATTTCCTATTTTTGCCCTTTCTTGAAACTTTGTCAGATGTACTATGTCTCTGCCCTCTCTGAAATCCCTTTTGCTACTGTCATCTATAAAAACATTATATATGCATCCCTAATGAATTGAAAGAGCAAAGACAAAAGAAAAAAAAGAGGGATTCCTACTTTGTCTTCCTTCATTATGTCCATTACAAATTTAATTGTCCTGAATCTGAGAATGTCACATGTTTCCATGGCTGCAGCCTTCTCTGTTTTTACCATCAGTTTTTGTCAGAAAAATCTATCTCCTTTACCAGGAGATTCTAGCATTGGACTAGTTTACATGGCCAACCTATCTATGCCCATAAGAGCCACTTGGCATTTTTATTTCACTGGTCAAAATGGACAGATTTATGGAGATGTGGTTTTGAAACGCCTTATTTTGAGATTACTATCTTGACCCTTGCTTCATGAAGGCAGTGAAGTAGAAGCAGGCATTGCACAGTGAACATCAGCATTTCATTGACTAGTTTCTTCTTTAAAATAAAGCCTAAGTGACTAACCCTTTATTCTGTTGTATAAAATAGTCAGGTTTATAAAACAGCTTAGTAACAATAAATAAACCCTGGCAAGCCCCATCATTGGAAGGAAAGTGACAATATACGATGATGTGTGTATTGTCATTCTGGCCTGTATTCCTCATTAAAATCAGTATAAATGGTAGTTTATACGACAAAAAAGAGACATTTGTTTTTTTTTTTCACTTCTCCTTATCATTTATCTTATTGTACATGTGAAATTTATACTTAAGAATTTAGATAATTTGTATGTAAAAGTGGAACAGTAAGCAGTCATGCAGTTTCAGGAATGCAAGAGAATTCCAGTGTCTTTGTTTCAAGAATGTTTTTAAAATGCCAGAAAGGTCAGTAGCATATCTTCTTGCTAAGATATATAAATGGTGCCCCTAGAATAGATATCCTTTGACGTGGGATCAACCATGTTGCATTGGTATATGATGCCTATAACAGTGCTATTCAGGCAATGATGACTACTTCGGGTCAGTAAGGTTGAAGTAACTAAGCAGAGATAGCTACATTTTTTAATAATATCATCCGATGGGTTTCAGAGAAGAATTATTTCTTGGTACCACTACCTGTCCCAAATAGGAAAAAAAATATTCAGATAGACACTTCGCTCGTTGTGATAGGGAAACTGGCAGTGTCGCTGGGCGGGCATGAAACGGAGAAGCCCAGGTGTGTGGCTGAGGCCAAGTGCTTGACTGTTGAGCTGGTGACTTGCCTGTCAGGGTATCTCTTAAGAGGCCTGGTCCCAACTCAGTGGCAGTTACCCATGATAAACAGCTCTGAATGCTTTTGGTTTTGTGATAAGGGACCTGGTTAGGGAGGCTGGCCTTGGTTGCCACCCTGGGAAGGAATATGGGAAACAGTCAGACATTGGTGTAAGAAAGCTCAGAAGCTGGGCCACCAGAGGCACATGGGACTTCTAATGAATTAAAGTTGTTCAACATAGGGATTTTTTTAAAGTCCAGTATGCTTTTTTGTTGATTTATTTATTTTTTGGACACTAAATGGCTTAATCATTTCCTGCAGGAGGAGCAGCTGAAATCTCACGAAAGCAAGCTGAAGCAGATCACCACCGAGCTGGCCGAGCATCGCTCGTACCCCCCGGACAAGAAGGTGAAAGCGAAGGATGTAGACGAATACAAACTGAAAGATCACTACCTGGAGTTCGAGGTATGTCGAACCGCAGTGTTCATACATGCTTATTACCGAGTTATTTTATGATTTGTCCACGAGGCAGCATTTCTTTTTACAGTCACTGGAACTGTGGGAAACGTGGCTTGGCCCTGGCTCCGACTTGGGAGCTGCTGGCACAGTCTGGGCCAAGGTGGCCCCTCTTGTTTGTGATGCCGTTGAAGTGCCAAATAAACATCAAAGAGTCACTGCCAGCTTATGTGCTTCAAAGCAAGCAGCGCGCCTGGTTGGAACAGCGTGTGCCTGCTGCGAGGGGGAAAAAGAGAGAACAGAAGAGGGACATGCCAGAGTGGACAGCTGCTTTCTGTGTCCCTTGTCTCCTCCGGCAGAGTCTGAGTCAAAAAAAAAAAAAGTACAAGGAAGGAAATGAACTGTGGGTTGACATGAAGCGTCAGCTTTTTCCTGCGCATTCCTGCTGTTAGGTTACACCAGTGCACTTTTCTTCTTATCATTCCCTGCTCTTTAGAGAGGGATTGATAAATTGTGGCACATGTGTGGTTATTAAAAAGAACAGTGAGGATCCATGTGCCCTGGCATGGAAAGGTGGAAAATTTCAAAGACATTTGAAAGCATTGTATTTCCCAGTGTTTCCTTTGGCTAAGTTTTCTCCCAAACTAGTGTCAGGGTTATGCAGGACCCTCTGACTTCTGACTCTCCCCCTTAGCCAGTGCCTTCAGACATTGTGTTGTTTTTTTGTTTTTATTTTTTATTTTTTTGAAGTAGGTAGCATCTAGTCTAAAACAGAAATAATTATTTTTTAATTTCTTTACATATTTCTTTTACCGTTGGGTGTGCTGGCCCCATCGATAGCTATTCTTGTTGATTGCGACTCTGTCCCCTTTTATTTCCCATCATTCGTCTGTTTCATGTCCATCTTATCATCCTATTTCCTCCTGAGGCTTGAAACTTACAACCATCCGAGTGCACAAATCCTGGCACTGTGCACCCGCCCCTTTCTTCCCACGGTGTTGCTCATCGCTGTTACTCTTCCTCTGCTGAGTCCCAGCTTTCTCATCTCTCCCTCCGACTGTCTCTCCTTTTTCAGTTCATTCCACGTCCTGTAGCCAGTTTTTCCTCTGAGGCTCAACCTAGATGCCAGCCCTCCCCTGTTCAGCAGCTGACATGGGTTTTCTCCCACAATCTCATCCCCCATGTATTTTCTGAATAAAGGCCCCGAGCTTAGACTAAGAGTGTTGGCTTCTCCATGACATCAGTCCTTCCCATGCCAGCCTCCATGGACTTTAGTCACATTTCTGCCCACTTCCCCCAAATACGCCTTCATACCTTCGTTCATCTGTTTGCTTCTGCCTCTGAGGCTCTTCTTTGTTTCTGGAAGCCCTGTTCATCTTTCAAGGTACAGCCCCTTCTGGAAAAGCCTACCCTAACCCCACTAGCTAGGATTAATCTGTCACAGTATTTTCCACAATTTGCTCTATGTTAAAGTTATTTCAGTCTGTCTGTGTGTGTGTAGTGACTCCATAATGCCTCCCCCTGCCCAACACCACCAGCTTTGGGAGGGCAGGGACCTCAAGTTTATTCGCAACCTTTCTTTATGCTTGCTTATTGAATTGGACAGGATTTCATGGAAGCCTTAAAAAGTCTCTTTCTGAGTTAGACTATTTCTCTGATCAAATGTAGCATTTGGTTCGGAAAATGGCACTTCCACTACAGATCCGTGTACTGGCTTTTTCATGGTCAAGCAAGATGGGCAGATGGCAATACCAACAAAAATCTTTATTTTGGTAAAGGTAAAAGTTTGTTAACCAAAGCAATGGAAGCCTTACCAGCAAAAGGCTTGGAAAAATATTGAAAGAAAAGAACAACAACAAAAAAACTAAGCCACTCATCTTTCCCCGGGCTCATTCATTCTTGGGAAATAGGAGTTCTCAGAAGCAATCATTATTCTTCACACTTCTGGAGTGGCTTGAAGCCGTAGGCCTTGTTTTGTTTCACACATGCTAATTAAATTTCCCAACACCTCAGTCTCAGCTTCCACCAGCACTCAGCACCTTGCTTGAGCCCTTGACTCTTAAGAGGAACAGTCTGTCCCCAGGAGGTGGGAGTGGCCACAAGACCAGGGGAAGATTGTCATGCTAGAAGCACTTCTTGCTTTTGAATCTACCACAGTGCACCTTTTCTGAAAATGTAACCCAGCAAGAGCCAGCCTTTTCATTCCCTGACATGAAGTTAGACCAAGCTTTGTGGGGATTAATTCTTGCTTTCATCAAGTTGTCACTTCAAGGAGCATGAAAATAGCATTCCCCGACCCTTGACTCATATCAAAATCAGACTCAGATGCTAATCAGACTCAAAATCAGACGCATATGCTAATGAGTCCAGCATGTTGACTTGTGTCTGTCAAGGTCATTAGCCCATATCTACCAGGAGGGTGAACGGTACCTCATTTTGCACAGATGTCATCTAAAAAGAGTTTTGTAAAAGTAATGCTTCTTAGGAAGTGAATCATTGTTTCTCACTAACTTAAAATGGAAGTGGTATATCACATAGACTCCACTTTCCTATTATTTCGGCCACACGTGGGTGCTTGTGGAGAGTCCCTGCGTAGCATCGTTTACTTCATAAGCAAGATTCCCTGAGCAGGCTCCTTCACTGCCTGAACAGGGGATATGAGAGTTATTGGCCATTTTGTGCATTTTGTTCACAGCTCTGTCCCCAGCTTCTAGAACACTGACTAATTGATAGATGTTCGTTGAATGAATTAATGTTATCTTTTATACACAGTAATAAAATTTCATCAGAGGAAAGTAACTCTTTGAGAAGACTTAGTATTAATTCTTTTTACAGGACCATAAGCTCCCAGGAAAACAAATCTGATAGGCAGCTGAGAACCAACAGCAGTGGCTACTGTTTGGTAGGCACCCTCAGAAGGGCTTTAATCCATCTTGTTGTCACCAAGACAGAATCACAGACACGAGTGAGCTTATTCTCGCAGTAGGTCATCACCAGGACGGCCCCCCCTGGTTCAGAGCAATTGAAATAAGTTTCACAAGTCTTAGTTAGAAAAAACACTTTTATTTTGGGCAGAATATTAAGCTGTTAACATAATAACACCAGAGTGTTCCTAACTTTATGTGTTGCATTTGTGTATATCCCAAGTTGCTTTGAGTACAAACAATTCTTTGTGGTGAGCAAAATCCACAGTTCTTTTCTCTGCCTTAGGAATTCTCCAAACTCTGGCTGACAGTAAATAATTAAAACTCTGATAAATATATAGGTTCCGCATTTTTAAAAAACCTACAGAGAGCAAGGAGACTTCCATCTTGGCCTGTTAGGAAAAGATTCACTTTTACTTAAAGCAGCAAAGTTCATTCAGAAAGGGCTGTCTTCACCGGTTATTAACTAGAGAGAAAGAGGTGGTTTTGTTTTTAACTAAATTGGTAGCCCAAACTGTGGCTGCTATTTTCCTAGAAGAGTTCATTTAGAATCTAATCTTAACTTTTGAAAGAGTTGTGAGGCATCACAAGTCTACATTGAGAAACTCACCATTTCCCTATTCATGAAATAAATATCAGAAATAGCCACATTTCCTTATAAATTAAGTCTACTCCATTCAGTTCCCATTTTACTTAAAAATATTTTTAATGGATCCCAATGCTTCTGGTACTTTAAGAAACTTACCAAGATCTGGAGCAGATGGATGGTTTGTGTCAGATGTAAAAGCTGACAAGGCCCCCACCAGTGACAGCACAAGTAGGTTGAACTGGGCTGGGAAACACCCAGCCCTTTAAGAAACAGCATCATTAAAGAAATTCCCTCAAGAGCAACATAGTTGGCCCTGATATTTTGGCTTTATGTTTTTTCAACTTTAAAAGCAATAGCACTGGGGCAAGGGCAATATATGTAACCTTAACATTTGTACCCCGTAATATGCTGAAATAAAAAAAAAGCAATAACACTTAGAGAAGATGCTGTTTATTCTGAGATATTTTTCATACAACACATAAGATATTTCCAGTAGGTTGAGTGATTAATCCTTATGTTGTACACACCCGAATAGGGAGAGGGAGGCAATGCAGCAGCCATATTGCAAACATGGCTGGGCTGTGAGAGGTTTACTGCAGAGGGATTATTGAAGGCCAGGGTAATAGCCAGCTCCCAGGGGTCATTGTAGAGGCAGGTGGAAGGCTGTAGCCAGCACAATGCCAATATATTTTATGTGACCAGCAGACCTAATGTCAGCATGTTTTCTCTGGCCAGCACATTGCCGAATTTGTTTTCATTGTAATCTAAATGCCTTTACGAAAGACAAACAGTCTCTTTCCCACTACTCCCTATTATAGCACATCTAATAGCTTTCTGCATTTGTGTCATCACCTGGCCCCTGAAGCTATTACAGTTTGCAAACCCTATTATAGAGGCTGCAGCCAGTTTTGTATGCTTTGAGTATTAGTTAGGTCTTTGAACATGTGCTTCTAGGTATATGTATTTGCATGTTCCAATCCAGCAGGAAAAAGAGAAAGTCCACTTCCCTGATTACTAAAACCAAAGACTTAGAATAAAGAAGCAGTCCCCAACCTTTGTGGCACCAGGGACAAGGTTTGGGGTGGGAGGATGGCAAGCGATAAGGTGTGGCCGTCAATACAGATAAAGCTTTGCCGGCTCACCTGCCACTCACCTCCTGTTGTGTGGCCAAGCTCCTAACAGGCCACAGATCAGTACCTGTCTGCAGCCCAGGGGTTGGGGACCACAGGATAAAGGTCCTTTGACTCAGTGGGCTAAAATTCAGCCCAGTGCCCACTCCTAAATTGCGACCTAGAGTAGCATATGCTTATGGCTTAAGACAGTTAGGGCCCACACCCACCACATGGCTAGGAAATTCAATTTTAGAAACAACAAATGTCCACTATAATGAGACATACAAACTTCTTGGGACAGAATATTTAAAATCTAAGAAATCTGGGACATGATGCATCTTTTTCTGAATTTCTGGTTTTTGATGGCATTTAAAATGGCATGAT